TACTTGTAAATGTGTAGAAGTATAGATGTTGTGTATTTATTTGTTTTGCTTAGAAGAAAGAGAACAAACTACCCAAGTTGCAAAGTCCCTGGTGGGGAGTTGGAGGAGATAAGAATCAGCTTCCCAAGCTGCAAAAAAGTCCCTGCGAATATAACACTATCCCCAAAGATTTATATTAAAATCAAATTTGTTACAAGAGAATATCTAAGGTAATATTGTTGTCGTGTACTTTTTCTTTTACTTTTATCTTATATTGTTTCGCTTTCTTTACTTACAAATGATTAAATAGACAAAACATTTTCCGTCGTTTGCTTAAAGTTAAAGTATTACTTTTTCTTTTCTGAGTGGCTTAAACATTTAAAAAAAAAAAAAAATCTAATAAACGGTTCATGTAACAGAAAAGAGAAAATGAAATTTCAAGAACAACTAAAAATGTAGCTGCAAGTGATGAGATATCTAGAAAGCTGCAAAATTTTCTTAGAACTAACTGTTTTAGCTGTTTTTATCTTGAGAGCCATAACATCGTGACCAATTACAGCCAGCAGAGTCCCTCTCCCAATCACCCTCATAGATATTTTCAGTTTTATCATCACTATCCATACTTTTGAAGTTCCACTACTTTTTCTTCTTCTTTTGTTAACACATGAAGTTCCACTACTTTAACATTTAAAAGTGCTAGCCTCAGTCATTTTATATTTGCGTGTCTTTAGAAATATGACAAAGTTCTCAAAAGAAAATGACAATGCGTGATCCTAACATAGCTTCGAAATAGTCTACTTATATGCATACTGCGGAACCAACTATCACTAATAAAAGGGAACTACATTTTTGGCTCACATGTGTAGTTTGGTTGGGCATAAAACTCATCAACTAGCTATGGTATTGAGGAAAATTCAGGACAGTTTTGGAAAAGTTCCATTCAATACATTTATATAGTCTAGCTCGTATTTTAAGTTCATATTTTACAACGTTTACTTGCTATTTTATAAAATCTCAATCACACAATAAAATTAAAGAGACATGAAAATAAAACAAAATGAAGAAAGAAAGAAAAATAAAAGTAAAGAAAAAGATAACACGTTTTTTCTTCTTTATCACTCAATCGTCATGGGATCCGAAACTTTAGCCGAGCTTTTCTTTGGCTTTCCAACAAACCACCGACCGAATCTTGTAGCAAAATTCTGTTTCTCCGGCGTATTCATGACCTCCCGGAGGCCACCTCCGACCATCTTTTCATCTCCTTCGCCGG